CAACCAGGATGGACATAGGCTAGAATCTTCCCGGTAAGCGCACCTTGGGGTGCTAACACAGATGATTAGAAATGGGCTAAATTAATATGTGAGAATTAGCCTAGAAGAGAATGGGCCAAGCAGTGTTTAAATGAATACAGTTTGTGTGTTGTTATTTCGGAGCATAAGCTAGCCAGGCTGCCGGGGTGCTGGGGATGCAGCCCCGCCGCCTCTTATTACTACAGCAAGTACCTCTAGGTCTAAAAATATTTTTAATAGCATCTATGGCTAATGACTATCACACTGAAAAGCACAGTTCTAGAAAAATTCATGTATATACACATATCATGACTGATATTTAAAAAACCACATTATTTCCACTTAAGACCTGGCGCTCTGGTACATATTTCCAAGACTTATAAAACCATCATTTTGTGGGTTACAGATTGCATTCTTGACAAATTAAATGGCATTTTAGATGTCTCCATTCTTCTTGCTTAGGAAATAAGTATTCATTATTTAGAGTCTCAGTTCTCATGACTTTGATGACATTGCATTATGTTAGTGCACCTATTACATCTCCATTTACTTTCTTCTCAAGTGTGAAATCTAATTCTTCCCTCCCCATCCCCACTCCTCCTGTTTCTTGTTTTCTGTCTCCCATACAAAAGCCATTTCTTACACTTTCAACTATGACTCATGCTTGCTGTCTGCGAAATACTACTTATCTGGTCATCTCACTGTACAAGCTAAAGCACATCATTTAAACTGAGATGGCTTCTACTCCGTGAAGTAACTAGGATGGACACCATAGCTCCTCCAGGCTTTAGAAAGCTATGAACTCTGGAACAGGTCTAATTAATAAATTTTGTTTGCTTTTCCTCGGGGTGATCCTTCCACCTTTTCAAAATGCCAGAAGACTCACTCTTCTATTCTTAGAGAAAGAATCAGAATCTCTGAACTTTTACTATAATTTTCTTGAATTTATGCTCTAGCACCAATTTTATTCTAAAGGTCCAGGGTTGTATTGTTTTTGGCTGTACACCACTAACTAGTGGTGCTACCACACATGATACCAATGAAGGTCTTAGGCAAACAAAAGAAAGCTTAGGTTTCAAAATTGTATGACACCGTGATCAAAAATACAAACTTTAGCTAGGCGGTAGTGGCGCACGTCTTTAATCCCAGCACTCAGAAGGCAAAGGCAGGCAGATCTGTGAGTTCAAGACCAGCCTGGTCTACTAAGGTAGTTCCAGGACTAGTTCCTTAGCTACTGAGAAACTCTGTCTTGAGAAACCAAGAAAAAAACCAAAATGACAACAACAACAACAACAAGAAAACAAAACAAAACAAAAAACCCAAGCTTTAGAATAATATGTATATGACTATTCTTGGGACAGGGTCTCACTATCTAGCCCTAAATTTCCTAAATAACTCAGGCTGCCTCAACTCCTTGATCTTCCTGCCTCAGCGTCCCAAAGATTAGGGTTATAAACATAAACTAGCATATCTGGCTAAATATGAATGAGAATCCTAATTCTGTTGCCTTCTGGTTGTGAAGTCCTGATTGACTGAATTTTAACATCTCCTGAGTCTCAATTTTCTAATGTGTGGAATGAAATACAATAAATTATCACTCACAACCCACACAATTGTATGCTTAGCACAATTTTGGATCATGGGAAAGGCTTGCTGCATTGAAAATGTGTAAGTGTGGAAAAGCTAGTCCCAGCCTGGAATGCTACTGGGAAATGGTGGAACCGTTAGGAAGCTTGGTCGCTGGAGTTTTGTCCTTGAGGAAATGCAGGGAGCCCAGCTCCTTCCTGGTTCTGTTTCCAGGCCATCACAAAATCAGCACACCTCTTCTGCTTCGGTAACTTAGTAAAGTGACCAGGGACTAAAACTTCTAAAGTAAGGAGCCAAGTAGCCTTTCCTCCTCCTTTGAAAAAAAGTTTGTTTTTAAAAAAATCATCTTTAATTATATGTAAGGGAAGGGGGAGTATGTGCATTCCAGGGCAGGCACCTCAGGAGGCCAGAGGTTTCGGATCTCCTGGGGCTGGAGTTGCAGGCGTGAACTGCCTGCTCTGGGTGATGGGAACCAGTCTCCAAGAGCAGTATCATCTCCAGCTCCATTTCCTCCTAAGCCAAGTATCACTGGTATTTTGTGACAACAGACAACACTGTTGTCTTAGTAAGTGCCAAGCATAGTAACAGGATTACTTTTCTGGTTCTTCAGGATCAACAGCTCGGCTATCTTTATTTATTTATTTTTTGTTTGTTTGTTTTTAAGACTGGGATTCTCTTTGTAGCTCTGGCTGTCCTGGAACTCACAGAGATCCTTCTGCTCCTGCCTCCCGAGTGCTGGGATTAAAGGCATGTGCCATCATGCTCAACAGTATCTACCTTTTTAAACAAACTGTGGGAAGAGAAACTCAAGAAAATTCTAATTATGTCCAGGTATAAATGGTATGGGTAATAATAAGTGCTATTTCATAGGATGCAAATTCTTAGAAAAAAGCAATTCTACCACGGACATTCCATACTTAATCAAAGAACAATCTGTGAGCAAACTCTGGTACAATTTTACATGATTTTAAATCTTCTATCGCATCTACTCTAAGCAAAATAGATTTTAACTACTGTAAGTCTGAATTCAGGCTGCAGAGACGGCTCAGCTGTTAGGTGTGCAGACTGCTCTTGCGGGAGGACCTGAACTGATCCCCAGCATCTACAACAGGTAGCTTGCCCTCCAAGGAAGCTGGCACCCTCTTCTGGTTTTGGAGTCATGTCAAACAGGGCTCCGATCTTAAAGAACACCCTCTTCCTCTGTCCTTGGCTACAAGTCTTTGAGCACATTATTAAGTATCTCTAAGCTTTGCTTTCACTATCTACAAGAAGAAAAACAATGCCTCACTGAACACAGAAGCTACTTGGTACTGTGAAGAAAACAGAGTTAGATAAAAGTCTATCAGTAGTAGGAGTATCTCTCTGAGTTATTTTTCCTATGAAACTGGATGTAATCATATTTAATTCATATGCTGTGTATATTTAACAAGGCAGTATGTTTAAACATCTAAGGATGAATAACAAATAATGAACACTCAGTAAATTATGTCATTGGCATTAAGCTGCCTGTTTAAAACTATTTTTGTCCTAATTATAAGAACTGCCAAAGTTAGAAATGAATCTGGTCTAACAGGTTATAAAATACTTTGTGATCTTTTTAGTCTTTTTTTTTATACTTTTGACCAGAGAAAATGCAACCAACAATAACAGCTTTCACTTAATATAGTAGCAAGAACATTAACATATGAGTAATAATATACATAAAAAACCCAGAGCTCAAAAAGGAAAACTCTCCTTGAGATTAAATATTATTTCTCATAAGTGTCTGTTTTTCTTTGTCAATAAAACTTTTATTTCTTGATGGCTCAAACTGTTACTTCCAGAATTACTTAAGAGCAGATAAGATAAGCTAGATAGACTCCTATTGTCACCTTTTTCTTTCCCTCCAGGCTTAGTGTAGCAATACTGAAGTGACTCACCTCAGTATAAAAATCACTCTGCCCATCCGCCTCTCCCGAGCAGAATCAGGACAATCTAGAGGATGCCTACCAACACACACACACCAAGATTCAAGTAACTGTGCACTCTTACCTTAGCAAGTCTGACTTTAGTACCATCGAGATAAAAAAAATACAAATTATATTCAAAGGACAACTCCCCAAAATAAGCTTTAGTAAGCAGAACAAAAATTTGAGGATAACAATTTTTAGTGGAAATTTAACATCTTTGTTTTCAAAATTTTTTTTTAGTGTTTAGTAGTGTGTGTGTGTGTGTGAAGTGAAGACAACTTTCAGGAGCCAGTTCTCTCCTTCCACTATATAGGTTCTGGGGATAAAATGCCAGCTGTCAGGCTTGGCAGCAAGAGCCTTTTTACCCACTAAGCCATTTCACCAGCCCAGTTCTATCTGTTTTCCAACGTGAGTGATTATATGTAATAATTACCAATCTTTGCTGACTTACAGAAGCTTAAGAAAGTATTAACTCTTAAGATTTTAAAATTGACCAGAATGAGGATGACACAATGTATATTGCACATTCACTAGCTGTACAAACACAAAATATTTATACCACTTCGTAAGGTACCTTTCCCCTTAATGTATGTAAAACATAAAGACTCAATTCTTAATCTACTCCCCGAGGAAACCATAATTTAAACACAAGAGGAACACATTATAGTGTGCTGAATACCTCAGTCACCATACATTGTTTCCCACAAGTAAGGAAACCAAATAATACTTAATTCCCACTCTCTTTCCTGTCTTAAACAATATAAGGCGAAGTAATGTTTTTAAAGGGAAAAGCAAATATAGATGAGGTAGACAATATCCTATGAAGTTTTTCTTCTCACGTTTTTTTGGAGGACAGGTCAAAGTGGAAAACGAAATTAATGAGCACCGAAAGATGTGCTATTTTTACAAGTATTTTTCGGTAAGTCAACAGATGGAGGCGGAGAATGAAGCTAACAACGTTAGAGTCCACATTACACACACACACACACACACACACACACACACACACACGAAAACGCCAGCGCGGACATGGGTCCTTTGACAATGCAGCACCCAGCGTCACCCGTCCTACGATGGAAGATCCTGCTTGCCACAAACAATCCCCAACTCTCAGCAAAGTCAAATTGTAGCCCAAATCCAGAGGGCCTGAAGTCACCGGGGTGGGGCAAAAGTCTACAGGGGGCACTGATAGCGGGATTTCTGAAAGCGACTCAAGAAAAGATCATCATCCTGTCAGTTGCCCGGCTTTGGGGATGATGCTGCGCGCCGCCGCACCCCAGGCTCCCGGGCTGGCCAGGCCGGGGGGTCGGGGATTGCATGGTTCCGCCAGCCTCCCCAGTTACCCCGGTCACGGGAGCCTCGAGCCGGTCGCCACACGCCCCCACCCGATGAGCCCCTCCCCACCCCGCCGGTTCCGGGCTGCAGGGATGCCTGCGCCCTGCTCACCGGCCCGGGTGGTGTCCGTCAGGTCGTGGTTGGCCGCTCCCCGGGGAAACTCCCTCAGTTTCCGGCCGCTCAGGCTCAGCACCCCGGTGACCGCCGCCTCCTCCAGGGCTCGGTCGACAGAGCGGCTCCACGAGCCCGGGCCAGGACCAGGGCCTAGCCCAGGGCTCGGTCCACAGTTTGCACCGGAGAGGTTTCCCCCGGACGCCACTGGGCCAGAGTACTCCGCAGCGGCTGCCACAGCCACCAAGCCCACGGCCGCCATTTCCCAGCCAACAACTCTCCGGCCGGTCTGCGCATGCGCCACCCGAACCGCTGGGTGGGCGGGGAAAGGGGCTCGCGGACCCCGGCCAGCACTCCCGGACAGGACGCGCTGTGCCCCGCCCTTACCGAGGTTTTCTAGGAAAACTCAAGGGACAGCATAGAACTGCAGCAGCCCTCTACACTGAGCTCCTAGCGGTCTAAAAGGCCACTACAAAAACCATCTTTAACAACCTTTCTCAATACCCCGTCTTCCCCCCTCAGCGGTGGATTACACTGAACAGCAAGGATTTGTTGGCTCTGCTCCTGCCAGAAACTTGTGCAGTTAGGAGTGACTCCTTGGGATGTGCCCGAAATTGTCTCTCAACTTGTAACCATACCAACAATGATTTAAATTGAGATTTGCAGAAATACTATCAGTCCTTGGAGGGAGGGGGGGGACTGTCTGCGAAGATCGGCTACAAAGTCCCTAATTCTTGTAAAAATTGTTATGTATTTTAGATTCTACTTTTTACAAAAGGGCTCGTAATGAAAACAAACATCTAAATAGTATGACTGTTTGTGCAGGTTTTATCAATGACTAGAGCAGAATGAAGGTGTTTAAGTCTAAAATCCGAGTCTGCAACCAAAACAGAGAAAGACAAAATTCTCTGCCTGTAATATAAATGTAGGGATTAAATTTAGAACCGAAAGACCAAAACTTAAACCATTCAGATAACGAAAAACTGAAAATACCACTCAAATTTAAACGAGTTAGACATCTCTATACCATACTCTTATTTCCCCAAATCTGTTTTAAACTCAAGCCATTCCTAACATGTGATGTAAATTTCACTTACCAATAACTTTAATTTGCTGTGGAAAATACGAAGGGCTGTCAGATAAAGTCTCTTTCCTAAAGAATTAATCTAACCTTATTGTGGAATCCAAGAAGGCCAGTTACAGAAAGACATGAAGAGGGGAGTATTATCTACCAGAGTTCACAGCAAAGAAAACTCTCACAAGAATGGTTCTGAACCGCTGGGCGGTGTTGGTGCACGCCTTTAATCCCAGCACTCGGGAGGCAGAGGCAGGCAGATCTCTGTGAGTTCGAGACCAGCCTGGTCTACAGAGCTAGTTCCAGGACAGGCTCCAAAGCCACAGAGAAACCCTGTCTCGAGAAAAAAAAAAAAAAAAAAAAAAAGAATGGTTCTGAACCAAATCTCTAGAATTAGGAGGTAGAATGGAATGAAGAGGAAGCAAAATTCCATAACGGAAGATGAGTAAACACATATCAGGTATGATTTTGATGCATGTAAGAGCATTAAGACACAAAGGAGAAACTCCATTCCAGAACATTAAAAAAAAAAAAAGTGAGCTGTGAGAAGCTAGTCATCATTCAAGACCCAACTTCAGGAAAACCCAGACGAGTACTTTCCTGAGTTCTTAAATTTAAGAAGTTGTAAAAATGTTTCAATAATAAAGGTGCTCAGAGAACTGCTCTACGAACCTTTTATTTATTTATTTATTTTTTAAGAGTCCCAGTGTAACCCAGGCTGGCCTTGGCCTTCTGAGTCCTCAGAATACAAAGCAAGTATATGATACTTGATACCAGGCCTGGCTCTTCACAACTAGTCCTTCAACAAATTATTAATGTCTATGAATGAGTCATTTCATGGTAATGTTTATCCAATATAAGTATTTTCTGGTCTTTCTGAAACTTTGTTAGTCTTAAAGATACTAAGCTAGCCAGGCACGGCAGCACATGCTTGTAACGCAACCTCAACAACCTGAGAGGTTGAGGCAGGAGGATCCAGGTCAGTCTAGCTACAAAAGGATACCTGTCTTGGAAAAAGCACAAGATTAAGCTGGACTGGAAGATGGCTCAGTGGTGGAAAAAGCTCATCACACACCCATGGCGGAAGGGAGAAGTATTCTTTGACCTGTGTGTACCCACTCACACATCACACCCATAAACTCTATATAATCCTACCCTTGTCATGAATATATTCACATGAATACTGACACGTTGTTAGTAATATGGCCCTTTTCCTATGGGCATGCCCACTCCACTGTGATCTCAGCATACTATGCTAATCCTGAACTGACCAGATGTGTTGAGGCTAGTCTGTTTGACTTGAAGTCATTAGTAAATTAAACTTGATGCTACACAAATCTCCCATATCCCAGGGAGATATGGGAGGGCTGACCATACAAACGAACAGTTAATAAGCCAGAGAAGTAGCTAGAAGATTATGTATTAACACCTAAGAGAATGTTGAGGGGAAAATTAGGATTTTTCAGAAAGTCTCTAGGTATCTGGAGGCCAAAATGTACTAATTAAAAAGTCTGAGGACATAGGGAGAAATGAGATGTTACACATACTATTATTGAGAAAATGTCTTCAAAGAAAGAAAAGACAGATGGATATGAGGCCCAGGAAGATGGCTCTGTGGGTAAATTCCTGGCTATATAAGCACGAACACCCGAATTCAAATCTCCAGCACTCAGGTAAGGAAGCCAGGTGTTGCTGCATCTGAATTACAAGCCCAACTCTAAAGAGTGGAAACACATCTCTCAGGGTTGCTTGCTGCCAGTCTAGCTACAGGTTCAGAGAGAATGTATTCCCAGAGTGATGAAGCAGGACACTTGACATCTTCACCTGACCTCTGAGCACATACAGGCATACATACATATATGAAAAAGATATTTTAAAATTATTTGAAAATGGCTAGTACAAAGAAAGGGGGAACAAGAACAGGGAGTTCAAGCCAGTCTGAGAGCCAGTGAGATTCTGCCTCAGTCAAGCAACTAATGAATGAAGGCAGAAAATTATTTGAGCACAGGAATTTAAATCCTGTATCAGACAGCAGTGAGATGTTATCTCAAAAAATATGTAACTACATAAAAGATTTAAGTCATCAAGATAGCTCAGGGGCAAAGATGCTTACCACCAAACCTAATGACCTGAATTTGATCCCCAGAGGCTATATGTTGGGAGCAAAGAACAGACTCCAGAAGGAAAGCTATCTTCTGACTTGCACGTGCTGATACATATTCATGTGCAACAAACACATGCACATGTGAAAACATACATGCACAATATGTATAATTAAATCTGAATTGCACTATTGGCTCACTGGTTAGAACTTGCTCTGGTGGAGAATTTGGGTTCGGTTCTAGCTCCCATATGGTGGCTCACAACCCTAGTTTCAGGGGTCCAATGTCCTCTTCTGTCTATGGCAAGCACCAGGCATGCACATAGTACATACATACATACACACACACACACACACACATATAAACAAACTCGGGAACACACAAACACAGCCTAAAAAAGTTTAAGTTGTTAAAGGGTGTGAGATCATGAGGTCAAGAATAAATTTTTGAGATGTGTAAAGACTTGGGGTTTCAACTATGAAATGCAAAATGTAATTCTCTCAATCCTTATTCCCTCATTTTTTAAAAATGTGCATTGGTGTTTTGCCACAGAATTGGAGTTAGAGACAGTTCTGAGCTGCCATGTGGGTGCTGGGAATCAAATCCAAGTCCCTGCAAGAGCAGTCAGTGCTCTTTAACCACTGTACCATCTCTCCAGTCCCAATTTTTTTTAACAGTATTTATGTAGCCCAGGCTGGCTTCAAACTGATTTTGATTTTTCTGCCTCAGCTTCCTGAGTGCTAAGATTATAGACATACACTATCAAACCCTGCTCCTCAATCTTCATAAAGTAGGTACTGTACTTTGGGTTATAAGAAATGGAATTTGTGGAGAGTTCATAACAACCTTAGTGAAGAATTAGGGAGTTGTAAAACGCTGTGATCCAAAGGGAACAGAAATTAACTACTGTATTCAACTACCACTCTAAGAAGCTACCAAAGAGGCAGTGGGAGTTACTCAGGAGTTGCCAGACTCTCCTTCCTGTTTATTTTATAAGCTAAAACTTAACTCATTCAATACTAGAGGCAAATTTCACTCCAACTTCAGTAACTTTGAAAAAGTCATTAGAAATTCATTGTGGGTACTCCAAAAGTTTAAAAACTTGGTGCATCACATCCTCTTTAAACTTAAGAAATTGATTTGGCGAATATCCAAAATGTTTGATCATTTGGTTTTTAGTTATGCTTTTCCTGAAACAGGTTTGGTTCTACCAGGCTTGGAACTCACTATGCAGACTGGAACCTGCAGCAAGCTTACTGCCTCTTCCTCCCAAGTACCGGGAACACAGATGTGTGCCATCATACCTGCCTTTGTTATTCCTTCAATAAGGACTAATTGATTAAAAAAATTATACAACCAAGTTTAATGTTATTTTCTTCTCATTAGAGGAAGTGGAAAAGGGAGAGGGGAGGCATTAATGGCCATATACACTAGGTAAATAGCTTCCTATTCATCTTTAGTATAGTAATATATACATTAGTATACCTCATGTGAGTATACTTAGAATTCTACAATTTCCAAGCAAATCTTTACATCTTAGTGGTCTACAGTATCCAAAATTCTTTTCACAGATGCTTGGTGTTTACTGAAATATCCATCTTGAAATGTCAAAGGGGCTGAAGAGAAGGTTAAGAGTATGCACTGTTCTTGAAGAGGATACAGGTTCCATTCCCACTATCTACACCAGCTGCTCACAGTCACTTCTAACTCCAGTTCAGGAGTTACACCCTCATCTGGCTTCCATAGGCACCAACACACACAGTGCATAAACATACATGCAGGCACATACACAAATACCATTTTAAAAACCAGTCTTTAAAATGTGACAAAACCGGGTATTGCGGCATATACCTGAAAACTCAGTTCTCTGAAAGCTGAAGTGTATCAATGTGATACATGTGATGTATAGCCTGGAGAGGAAGGGGAACAAGGAGAGAGAGAAGGGGAGAGGGAAAGGAAGACAGAGACTGACTGTAACACCACCTCCACCCAAACCTCGAGCTCCAAACAGAACCACCATCTTCAACTAAGATTTTAATAGTGGCAAATTAGTGATCACAAATAAGTGGGAAAGGTCTATTAATCAGAAATGACCAAGTCCTTT